AAACTCTCAAGGCGGTTAGATACAAAGTCTGGGCTCAGGAGAGATATCTTGGGGTTCTCTAAATTTAATCCCTTAGTGCTACAGCAAAGAAAATAGAAGTATCTCTTGAACATTTAGTGGTACTTTTCAATAGAATGAGAATATGTCTAAGTGACTTGGTACAATACAATGCTAATTTGACAAACTCTTGATAGAGTTGTAACAAAACCGGAATAGGCCCAAGTACCCTAAGACAAGTATTTTTGTTCTAGTAATATAGACCCTTAAGAAGGTCGCAAATGTTGCAACAACTAAGTACACTCTCTTTTCCAGGGCCTGTCCCAATTTTCTTTTAATGGAGAACATTTACAATGAGTGCCATTAAGGGAGGCTGAAATAGTCCCAACTTACTGGGATTTTACATTTAGGATAAAAAAAAAAAATACAATGCTTTTCTGAATTCCCCAAAACCCAGTGGATTCAGGACACTTATACTGGCATAGCATCATCTGGAAAACTCCCCTCACCATCTGACACGCACAATACACCTACCAGACACACTCACTGCTCTGTCGTGTTAATTACCCAACTTCAGAGACCATAAACTTGTACTCAAAAGCAAACCAGTTTATTGCCTATAAATTCCAAGGAAAGAAGTGTTATTTAATGACTTCTCCTACTTATTCATGTGTAATTATGGACTGAGAGAAAGTACACCAATACGGAGTTCTGACTGAACATTATTTATTTTTCAAGATTTATTTGAGGGGCGCCTGGGTGGCTCAGTCGTTAAGCGTCTGCCTTCGGCTCAGGTCATGATCCCAGGGTCCTGGGATCGAGCCCTACATCGGGCTCCCTGCTCCGCGGGAAGCCTGCTTCTCCCTCTGCCACTCCCCCTGCTTGTATTCCCTCTCTCGCTGTGTCTCTGTCAAATAAATAAATAAAATCTTTAAAAAAAAATTTTATTTGAGAGAAAGAGCACGTGTGCATGACCATGAGTGGGGGGAGGGGCAGAGGGAGAGAATCCCAAGCAAACTTCCCGCTAAGAGAGGAGTGATCCCATGACCTATGAGATCATGACCTGAGCCGAAATCACTAGTAGGACGCCGAATGAATGGCCCAGGCACCCTCTAACTGAACATTATTTAAATAGCATTAAAAGGCTGTTACAAATCTCAATTCCTTATCTTAACAGTTACACCGTAATAACTAATAAAATGTCACCCCCACTTCTTAAATCCACAACTTTCCTCACTTAGAAAAGCCCCTCTGGGAAGATACTCAGCTGGAGGGCCCTTAGGGGAGATGTGTGCAATTCAGAAGCTGAAAAGAAATGATCAGACTGCAATCAATTTCCTTAACCACAGCTACAGGTTTCACTTTTGTAGCTATTTCCCTTCCTGATAGAAGCAATGGTTACATTCCCACTGTTGCCATCAATGCTGAATTTGCTGCTTGCTAATTAAAATATATTTAATGTTTTATTAACATTGTAATTCCTAAAAAGGGATGTGAAAAAAGGCTACTCCTTTTGGCAAATGCTTTTTATTTTATTTTTTAAGATTATTTTTGAGAGAGAGAGTGCGGGGGAAGGGGCAGAAGGAGAAGCAGACTCCCCGCTGAGCAGGGAGCCCAACGTGGGACTCCCAGGATCCTGGGACCACGACCTGAGCCAAAGGCAGACGCTAAACCAACTGAGCCACCCAGGTGCCTGGCAAATGCTTTTTTTTTTTTTTAAAGATTTTATTTATTTTGAGAGAGAGAGAATGAGAGAGAACACATGAGAGGGGATAGGGTCAGAGGGCAAAGCAGACTCCCTGCCGAGCAGGGAGCCCGATGCGGGACTCGATCCCGGGACTCCAGGATCATGACCTGAGCCGAAGGCAGTCGCTTAACCAACTGAGCCACCCAGGCGCCCTGGCAAATGCGTTTTAAATTAAAGACTTGATCATACCCTGCCTAAAATAACTTCTCAGCCCAATATATGCAAATCACTCTACTTTTAATAATGTATCTTATACTATCTACAGACATTGTTACAAAGAAATTTTTGACTGTGAGTGTCCTGGATAATAGTTTTTGAGGAAATCTAAAGTTCTTTAAGATGTAATTCATTTGGGGCGTGTGGGTGGCTCAGATGGTTACACCTCTGCCTTCGGCTCAGGTCATGATCCCAGGGTCCTAGGATCAAGAGTCCCACATCCGGCTTCCGGCTCAGCAGAGAGCCTGCTTCTCCCTTTCCCTCTGCACATCCCCCTGCTCATGCTCTCTGTCTCAAATGAATAAATAAAAAAAATATAAAAAAAAAAAAGATGTAATTCATTTGATTTTTCAACATATTTCTTTCATCATCGAAAACGCCTTTTATTATTTCCACTCCATGTATTGATCAACATGCATCAATAATTTGGGTTTGTTTTTTAAACTAACCAGCTTAAACCCTGACTCTCAGAGCCAATGACCTGCATCATGTAACCAGCATTCCTCTACTGAACTAAAAGAATTTCCATCCACAATTCAATAAACTACATAGTCTTCCAAGCATCCTTGGAGTAAGAAAGGGGCATGGACCTTGGGATTTTAAGCTAGGGAGATTTAACTTCTTATCTCTCCCCACCCTGGTCGGCTTGCTACTCCACCTTAGGTAGCACTCAACCTATCAAAGCCTCACAATTCTCTCATTTGTAAAATAAAGATGACAATACACTAACTCTAAGTGTTATTGAAAAGAATTAATGTAAATGATCTAGCACTTAAAAGCATTCAGTTAATGTTACACATTTTCTCTAAGCTCCAATTTTTTTGAAAACCACAGTTAACTCCCCTCTCAGACCCCTGGAAGCCTGGGAACCCCAAACTAGGTCAAATGGGGTAGACTAGGAGATACCATACAGGGATGAATTAGGTCAAGACTCCTGTCCTTGAGGAGCTCAGAACCCAGTAGGAAAGGCAAGTCTAACACAAATCTGATTGGGACAAAATCTCAAAGAGAAACACAAAGAAAGTGCTGTGGTCACAAAAAGGAGGAAACAACTTACTCTGAAGGGGGATGGGGGCAAAGGCCTCACAGAGTAGCTGGCATTGGAAGTGAACCTAGGATTCCCCTGGAAGGGAGGAGAGGCAAGGGGAAGGCAGCCTTTCTCCAAGCAAGTGCAAAGGAAGACCATATAACAACTGAGTAAGAGCAGGGGGCTCTGGAATCAAACAGAAGTGAGATTACAGCTCACTCTCCCAAGCTAGGAAAACTGGGGCAACCCAACAAAATCTCTCAGCATTCCATTTTCCCACCTACAAAATGGGAATGTCTACTTTTCAGGGAAGATTAAACATGATTATGAATGTGAAGTACATGGCTGCACAAAGTAACAGTTTTAAAAAAAAGGTAGCTACTGTGATTTGCAAGGGTAGTGGGAAAATAAGGGGTGGGACGTGAGGCTAAACAGATTACTTTCAGCCAGCCTAAGAAGGGTCTTACATGCTAAATAAGAAGTTAGGATTAACTGCTGAGGACAGTAAGATCACAGAGGCTTCAACAGGAGTGAAAAGATTAAATATTTGCTTTAGAAAAAGAATTCTGGTGTCCAAGAAGGGGAGTCAGAGGAGAACAGTAGTACTTGGAAAGGCATCTGAGAGATGAGGATATGGATTCTGGTAATTGCTGTAAGATTAGGAAGGAAAGCACACTCAAGAACTCCCTCTAAAGTAAAATCCACAAGTCTTAATGGGTGACCGCAAGTAGTGTACGGAAGTAAGTGAATAACAGTCCTCTCATCTGGATGACTGGTGGGTGAATGGTGGTGTCACCGGCAGAAAAAAGATGAGAAGAAGTCTGGAAGCTGCTGACTATTCTTTTGTGCCCACTTCCAATCCAGTTTTATGAAGTTAAATGCCGTCCCCAGCCCTTAGTGAACAAAAGAAAGGAAACGTTCCCAGGGAGGGAGGGCCCAGAGGCTATGACTCCAAGTTCAATGTCTAGTTCCACCAAGCCCAAGAGGAACCCCAGCTCTTTATCTCCTCTCAGGAAATCAGCTCCTGTGTCTTTTTTATTTCCGGCCCGGTGCAACCCGGCAGCACTATCCAGGCGCGGACTCACAAATCTTGACGAGGTTGGCTCCGGAGGACGGCAAACATACTCGGGAAAGAATTTAGCCAGTTTAGCATCTGTATTCCTCACCAAAGGAGCCACTTAGCAAGAAGGCACCCCGCTGCATGCAAGATACAAAGTACCAAGTTATTTTTATAAACTTTGGCCAGTTTGGGTTCGAACGATTGAAGCCAACCCCCACCCCATCCCCCAAAATGGCACTTTTGCTTCGGCAGGGAAAGGAGATCCTGATGATTGTTAAGTGGTAGGTTGAAAAGGAGACGGGGAAGAAGAACAGCGCCGCGAACGCGGCCGACCCCACGCCTTCCTGGAGTTGGAACTTGCCCGCTGTGTGACTCTGCAGTCACAAGGCGACAGTTTGCTAGGACCCAGAGCAATTTCAAACGACCCACCAACAAACTGACCTAACTTTTGTCGCCTGGCCTCCTCCTTCCTTCCCCAGCCCGAGCCTCCCAACCTCCCGGCCTCCGGAGCTCTAAAGCCGGCGCGCTGCGGCCCAGGGCGGGGCGGCTCCGCGGCGCGGGCTCCCGGCCGGAGCTCCGGCGCTCGGGCCTTCCCCGAGGGCGCCCGGTTTGGGACCTCCCGGCCGGGCCCCCACATCAACGCCGCCCCCGGTCCGGGAGGCGGCCACCGTGAGGAGGACCTGGCCGGGTTCCGGGCGGAGGGCGACGTGAACGCCCGGAACCGGGCGGAGGGGCCAGCGGCAGCTCCCAGCGCGGCCTGGCGCTCCCGCCCAGGCTGCGGCCTAGGCGGCCCCGTTACCTCCCTCAGCCCGCGTGCGGGCAAGGGGGCGGTGGGGCCACACAGGGACGGGAAACCGAGCGGCGACGCCCCGAGGAGTCCCGGCCCGCCGCGGGGACCCTGGGCCGGGACGCCGCCCCCCCCTGCCCGGCCGGCGCCGGAGAATGGCTTTTACCTTCATCAGCCTCCTGCTGGCCGCCATCTTGGATCTGGTGCTGCTGCTTTCCCAGAATGCATCGCGGTCCGCCGGGCGGCTGCAGCCCCCGCACTTCCTGGAACGGGGGAGGGGCGGGCGACGTGCGAAGTGCCTACTGTGTGCCACTACGGTACTGGGCGAACACAGATGAACGGGACTGGCAGTCACCCTGCCTTTACCGGACGTCCAATCCGGAGGCAATTACAAAAGTCCTTGGCACATAGTAGGTGCACAATAAATATTGGTTGCATAAGATCATTGAATAACCAAGATTATTTCTGACACTGATAAGTGCTGGGAAGAAAAGGAAACTGAGGGGCGCCTGGGTGGCTCAGTCAGTACAGCGTCTGCCTTCGGCTCAGGTCATGATCCCAGGGTCCTGGGGTAGAGTCCTGCATGGGACTCCATGCTCCGCAGGGAGCCTGCTTCTCCCTTTCCCTCTGCTGTTCCCCCTGCTTATTCTCTTTCTCTCTCTCTCCCTCTCTCTCTGTCAAATAAATAAAATCTTAAAGAAAAGAAAAGAAACCTAGTTGATGGGAAAGTGACTGTGGGGACCTACTTTTTTTTTTAAGAGTTTATTTATTTGTTTGACAGAGAGATATAGCGAGAGAGGGAACACAAGCAGGGGGAGTGGGAGAGGGAGAAGCAGGCTTCCCGCCGAGCAGGGAGCCCGATGCGTGGCTCAATCCCAGTACCCCGGGATTATGACCTGAGCCGAAGCCAGAGCTTAACGACTGAGCCACCCAGGTGCCCCAGAGACCTACTTAAAAAAAAAAAAAAAAAAGATTTTATTTATTTATTTGAGAGAGAGAGCAGCACGAGAGGGGGGAGGGTCAGAGGGAGAAGCAGACTCCCTGCTGAGCAGGGAGCCCCATGTGGGACTTGATCCTGGAATTCCAGGATCATGACCTGAGCGGAAGACAGTTGCTCAACCAACTGAGCCACCCAGGCACCCTTTGGAGACCGACTTTTCATTGGGAAGTCAGGGAGACCTCACTGAGGAAATAGTAAAATAACAGCTAACACTGGAACCTCAAATGCCAGCTGACCCCTCCTGTGCCTTATTTTCCTTAATCTTTGAAACCACTCTATGAGATGGCTACCGTTAACAACACATCTCACAGGAAACAGAAGCATAGAGAAGGCCAATGATTTGCCCAAGTTCATGTAGCCGGCTAGGAACAGAGACTGACCTGCTGGCTTCAGGTCCAACTCGGGAACTTGAAGGATGGGATGGAGCAGCTGAGAGACTGGGAGGAGATTGTTTCAAGCAGGAGAAAAGACACTGGCAAAGGCCATGAGGCTGTCTGGTTGGCCAGAATGGAGTAAGAAGTTAATAGGGAGGGGCGCCTGGGTGGCTCAGTTGGTTAAGCGACTGCCTTCGGCTCAGGTCATGATCCTGGAGTCCCTGGATCGAGTCCCGCATCGGGCTCCCTGCTCGGCAGGGAGCCTGCTTCTGCCTCTGACCCTCCCCCCTCTCATGTGCTCTCTCTCTCTCATTCTCTCTGTCTCAAATAAATAAATAAAATCTTTAAAACAAAAAAAAAGAAGTTAATAGGGAGCAAGGGAGACAGGTGACAGACCAGGACAGCCTTAAAAGAACAGAAAGGGGTTGGCTTTTCTTCTATACTCTGCGAGAGACCTCGGTGGATGTGTGTAGCAGCCACATCGTCAGATGTACGTGTTTAAGGAAAGTACTATGATTGGAGAATGAAGAATGGGGAGGGATAAGCAGGGGAGTAGGGGCCATTTGGAAGCCTACTGTAGCCAATCGGCAAAACTGATGGTGGTTTGGACACCGGGTAGCAGTGCAGGCAAAGAGAAGGGTCCAGGGGCGCCTGGGTGGTTCAGTCATTAAGCGTCTGCCTTCAGCTCAGGTCATGATCCCAGGGTCCTGGGATCGAGCCCCGCATCGGGCTCCCTGCTCTGCGGGAAGCCTGCTTCTCCCTCTCCCACTCCCCCTGCTTGTGTTCCCTCTCTCGCTGTCTCTCTCTCTATCAAATAAATAAATAAAATCTTTAAAAAAGAGAGAGAGAAGGGTCCAGCTTCAGGACACATTTAGGCCTTGTGAAGGAGTTTTTCTCCATTCTAACAGCAATGAGTTTCCCATGAAAGGAGAGAAGAGAACTGGAGATTATGTAGCCTGGAATGGGGTTGGCCTTCCACACAGTGTCCTCGGAGCCCAGGCTTGACACGGGTTGGGGGGGACAAGATGACAAGCTTCACGCAATCAAGGTTCTGTCTGCCTTTTATCTCCCCCCACCCAGGGCTGGCATGCAGTGGGTGTTCAATAAACATTCAGCAGATGTGTGAGGGACTCCATCCGCTAGCTCCCTAGAGGCATGGGGGACTTGGAAGTCTGGCCTAGTGACTGGCTCCATGCTCCTACTGTGTACACTAAGCCTGGTGCTATGTAGGTCCAGGTCAAAGAAAGAACACAACTTTCTTGGGACCTACCTCCTCCTATAGAGAAACACAGAGGGAAAGGGAGCCCCGCCCTGAACAATTCCAAGTCGGTTGGAATGCGCAGTGCATACCCTTAACCTGGACACGTGAAACTGGGAATGGAAGGTGAAGTCAGGAGAGGCCAAGTGCCAAGAACTAGCCTCTGCCATGGCATCTTCCTATGCCCTCCCATCACCCTGCAAGATTGCTTCCTCGCAGGTGAGGAGCAAAGGCTCTGAGCAGCAGAGTACCGTTGTTAAACAAGCACGCAGAAAATGTACCCAGCCCCAGTGGAAAAGATACCTGGTCTGTGGGGCCCCTCTCCTGCTCTAAAACTTTTATTGCTCCCCATGGCAGGCCTGGCTTCTGGTTACACCAGCCCCCTTCCACTGAGACAAACCATGTTCATTTGGACCTGGCTTTTCATCTGGACCTCACTTCCCTGAGCCTTCCATTAAAAGTGGCCTCTTCCTCCTCTTCTTCCAGTCCTCGTCCTCTTCCTGGACCACCCTTTGGCTAGAGCTCACCACATGTTTCTTCTTCTCCAAGTCAGCACAGGGTCTTGGGTGCTCACCTGCTAGAGAGGGAGATACAAAGGTAGCACCTGCCCTCAAGCAACTTGCAGCATCCTGGGGAGGCACTGAGAAGAACGCCAGAATGTGGCGATGGTCGGGTGAGGTATGGGAGCCCAGGGGAGAAGGCTGACAGGGGCTGAAGAAGGGGCAAGGGATGGAAGGAGCTCCTCGGCAGGCTGACTGTATGCCTGGCACTGGGCGCTGCACATTTACACCCACCACCAAGTTCACTGGCACCACAGAGCAGTGCTAAGATGTTCCATTTCACAGATGAGGAAGCCAAGGCCCTGAGAGTGGTAGCTTGCCCTTCATCACCCCGCTAGGAAGAGGGGCTCCAGAAGTTAGACCCTGATCTGGTTCATGCTGGTGAGCCTCTGCCTTGACCTCCTTCTGCTGGCCCAAAACCTCACATCCTACATCTCTCCCTTCCCAAGACCAGTGCTCCCACCACACCACACCCCCTGCCTCTGTCCTTGGTGCTCCTTTGTCCTCTGTCCTTTGCCTGTGATGCCTTTGTCATTCTTTCCCAGCAACACCACCTTATCCATCTGGCAAATGCTAATTCTTCTCCTTCTCCTTCTCCTTCTCCTCTTCTTCCTCCTCCTCCTCCTCCTCCTCCTCCTCCTTCTTCTTCTAGTAGGCTCCATGCCCAACACAGAGCCCAACATGAGACTGGAACTCACAACCCAGAGATCAAGACCTGAGCTCAGATCAAGAGTCCAATTGAGCCAACCAGGCGCCCCAAGTGCTAATCATTCTTGAAGACTCAGCTCACAATGCTTGTTCACTTGGTTGACCTGACAGCTGGGTTCCCGTGAGTGCAAATGTACAAGTGTTCTATTGACTCTCCCAACAGCCCTCTGAGGTCAGAACTGTTATCAGCCCCATTTACAAAGGAAGAAACTGAGGCTCAAGGGGTCAATTTTCAGCCACCCGGCTGGTCAGAAGGTCAAGCCCAAGTCGGCTCTTCGACTGTGAGGGGGAAACTAAGGTCTGGAAGGCTCAGCTGACCTAATGGGCTCCTTCTTTCCCTTCTACCCTCCCTCCCAACCTCCCTGTTTCCTTCCATCCTCCCTTCACAAATCCCATTGGGGGTTTGTGCTTAGTGAATGAGGAAATTCACATGGTGCCCGGCCACCCTGCCCTGACTAGATTGGGTACTCAACAAACAGTTGGTGAAGGACTGTCCCTTGGGGTTGCCTGGGTGGCTTAGTCAGTTAGGCGTTTGATTCTTGATTTTGGCTCAGGTCATGATCTCAGGGTCATGAGATGGAGCTCTGCGTCGGGCTCTACGCTCAGCAAGGAGTCTGCTTGAGACTCTGTCTCTCCCTCTTTCTCTGCCCCTCCCGCCGCTCTCATGCTCTCTCGCTCTCTCTCTCTCTCTCTAAAATAAATAATTCAAACTTTGAAGTGAAAAAAAAAAAAAAGATTGTCCCTGACTTAGAGCAATGACCAAATGACTGGACCAAAGGTATTGCCACTGGTGTCAGGAAGAAGGTAGATCAGGCCTTGTGCTTCAGGCTGCCAAAGGAGGGCAGAGGGAAGAGGTGCCGAGGGGAAAGAAGTGGAGATGGCAGAAGATGGAAGCTAGGTCTGTCCTGGAACCAGGGCATAGCTGGAAACACTGATGCTGCCAACAGCCACCGGGTCCTCGGGAAGGAGCGGCCATTTGTCTGAAGGCTTGCGGACGACCGTTCCACTCAGACTGCCAGAGCCAGTGGGCCAGCCTATAGTGGCAGCAGTTCAGAGCCCAGACTTCGGTCATACAGGCATGAGCACAAGTCCCTGTGTGACCCTGAGCAGTTGCTCCTCTGGGGAGGACAGAGCCAGGCTCCCCGACTATAGGGAGGACTCCAGGAGAAGCCCACAACATGTAGGTAGGAGCAGGCTGGCCACCCACAGGGACACGTGCCTGAGGAGCTGGGCCAGTGCTGCTGGGAGGGAAAGAGCAGCCCGGCAGGCCGGGGAGCCCCAGCCAGAGAGCGAACACACTTGTCCTTCCCTCCCTAGGAGGGCATGGAGTAGGCCACACACGGCCTCAGGGCCTGGGAGGTGGACCCAGACAACAGCATGGGTC